CCCCTGACCCACCTCCTGTACCCCCCCAGCCCTGACCCCCGAACCCACCTTGAGGCACATGGCGTCCTCCTCCCCCAGGGCGTCCAGCGCGTCTGCCACCTGCTTGGCCTCCCGCTTGTAAGCCAGGCCCAGCTCCTTCTTGTTGGGCGTCACACTTTGCGGGGTGGTGGAGAAGGGTGTGCATAAGAGAGGTTACAACGACCGTAAGGGGTGAGGAGGTGGGGTGGGAGCGCGCAAGCAGCGTGGGTGTGGGGGAGTGGGGGCGTGAGAGGGCGGGCCGGCAGGGCGTGGGCACGTGAGGGCATGGGCGGTCGCAAGCGTGAGAAGGGAGGGGGTGTAGATGCGCACGTGTGTGCGCGCGACATCAACGTGTGCAGCTGAGAGTAAGTGTTTGTTGGCATGGCGCAAACAGCCAAGCACGTGTAGGGCGCGGCCCCGTCACGGGCTGCGAAAAGCGGGCGTCGCACGCCGCAGGCGTCCCAGCCCTGCCACCCGCTGCTGCGTCACTCTCACGTGGTGACCTCCACCTCCCGGGGCTCTGGGAACTTCTCATACGCGGTGAGCTCCGTCTGGGGTCACGCCGGATGCGTAAAATTCACACCATGCCCGATGTGGCGGCAGGGGAAGCGGGGGTAGATCAATCAGCAGGAAAAGGGTGGCGTTGACCCGGGCCAACCCGCAGGCGATGATAGGAAGCCGCACGGCTGTACAACCGTGGCGTTGCGATTCTTTGAGAACAGATGAACATGGTGAAACGTTGCAAACAAGGCGACGACATATAATGGGCAGGAGCGGGCGTCGGATCAGGGCCGCTGAGGTAGGGGGGCCCAGGCGGGAGCCGGGGGGCGCCGGGCCGCACCTTGCTCATGGCCGTGTGCGCGCGCAGGTCGTACGCGCTGCGGTCCGCCAGCCCCGCGCACTCCACCCAGCCGTAGGAGGTCTCCACCTCGGCATCCCAGCAGTCCTCCGCATAGTGTGCCATCTTGGAAGGGGTGAGGCGGTTGGGGGGCCGGGTCAGTCGGGCGGCGATACGGAGGCAGCGTGGCAGCTGCATGGCGGCGCTCGTGGCAGGGTTGCCGCGAGCGGGTGACGGCAGGTCCCGCCCGTGGTGAGGGGCTGACTAGTGAGGCGCAACTGCATGCAGCTTGAATCTGGGAAAAGCTAAAGGTGGCGGCGCGCGCGCCGGCCCAACTCCCCAACCGGCTGCGTCCCTTTTTTGTCAACCCCCGCACTCACAACGAGCAAGCCTCCATCGGACCCAATCGCCCCCCGCCACACACACACACACATCCTCAACCCCGCACCTCGTGCTGCAGGTGCTGCCTGAAGCGCATGCGGTTGAGGTTGACGCCGAGCTTGCCAAACAGCAGCCAGGTGCGGCCGATGAAGTAGGCCAGGGTCTCGTTGGCGATGATGCCGCGAGACACGGCCTCGCCCAGGGCCATGGGCTTCGGGCGCTTCTCCTCACCCATCTGCGGGGCGGGCAGCGGGTTGCACGCAAGTGTGTGTGTGTGTGTATGTGTGTGTGTGTTTGTGTGTGCATGCGTGTGTGAACATGTGTGTATATGTGTGCATGCGTGTGTGTGCAGGCCACTCTGATGCATGCAAGCCGCTCACAAGTGGGTAGATATCTGCACAAGTGTGCGTTCTGCCGTGCATGCGCGTCAGCGCGCTCTGCACACGCCAGTCAACCCGTTGGCGATGTTCAGGGGAAGAGGCAAGGCTAGGTCCGTCGCGCCGCATCGCACTGGCGGTTTTGATACCAAGCCCCACCTGCAGCTCCCGCGAGTAGAGCAGCGGCTGCAGGTCCTTCACGTTGACAAACTTGGGGTGGCTCTTGTCATCAGGGTTGACAAAGTGCTCGATCTCGGCCTGCACAGTGGGATGGGAGGGGGCGCGGCGTGGTGGTGTACAGACGCAGCGATGTCCTCAAGAGGCCGCCGGGAGGGTCACAGCGCCGGCGGCGGGCGGGGGCTGCGAGGACGGGTCTTGGGAGGGGCTGCCAAAGGTGCACCGCCACCAGGCTTGATAACAAGCGCAACCAGCGCGGCTGCAACGCAACACACTAGCTGCGACCCACTCTGAGCCACTGAACCAACGCCCTGCACTCCAGACAACACACACACACCACCAACACACACGTGAGCCCCAACACACACACACAAACACATACACACACATGACGCACACACAGAGGCACGCCTGCCCGCACCTGCGTGAACTCGCGCACGCGCAGCAGGCCCGCCCGGGGGCTGATCTCGTTCCTGTAGCTGTTGCCAATCTGCGCCGCCGCAAAGGGCAGCTTGTTGCCGTTGTAGTAGAGCAGGTCCCTGAAGTTGACAAAAATGCCCTGGTGTGTGGCGGGGCAGGATGTGCAAAAAAATGTTTGATGGGGGATCTGCAGGCGGGCGGTCACTGGGGTGACGTAGTCGGCTGCGGACGTCATAATCGATCATAAGTGAGCCGCTTGTTTGCCCGGGTGAGTGGTGCGCAAGTGACAAAGTGGTGCGCCGTGCCAAAAATGCGTGCAAAGGCAAAAAACAGTGCGCCGAGGGCGGGGATCGAACCCCACCTGCGCAGTCTCTGGACGCAGGTAGCCGACCATGTCACCCTTGGGGCCGATGGACGTCTGGGCGGGCACGGAGTGGCAGGGGAGAGGGCGGCTGAGGTTAGGGAGGTGTCGGAGAAAGCCTGCAGGCTGCCAGGCAAGGAGGCGCGGCCCACGGACCCCGCGACGGCGTCGCCGTGACCCTGCAGAGCGCTGGAACCCCCAGCATGGCAAACAGGCGCGCAGAGCGCGGCGCTGCGCGGCGCTGCGCAGCGGGCAGGCGGCCCCACCTTGAACATGAGGTTGAAGGGGAACGGCGCGGACAGGTCGTTCTTGGTGTCGGGGGCCTTGATGCCAAACCTAGAAAGGCGACGGGAAACATGCAGGGGAGGGGGAGAATGACAGGCCGTGGCGGAGGTGGGCGGCCAGGAGGGCGCGCAGCTCCGGTGCATGGTGCGCGAGGCAGCGACCTCGGGATGCCAGGCAGCCGCGAAGGCTTCATTTCAGCCGGGCGGCGCCGAGAGGCGGCGCAGGCTTGAGGCGGTGACTCACCGCGTGATGAGGGCGCCCAGCGCGGCGCCGTCCATCTCCCCCACGCCTGCCAGCAGATCCTTCACCTCCTGCATTCCATAATGATGATGATTGGGTGCGTGACGAGCGTGTGTCGTATCGAACTGACGGGAATGTGGGGCTGCAGACGTAAGCGCGCCGGACGGCGGCCCCATCCCACAAAACTCGACGTGCATCCCCAGAGCCATGGGCCGACTGCCCCGCCCGGCCCGCTCCACCTGAGCACAGGCCGCGTGTCTTGGTACCTCCCCACTGCCATACTCCAGCGCGCCCGCCCCCCAAACCGCCCGGCCCGGCGCCCACAGCCCCCGGCGCCGCGCACCCTCTTCTCATCCGCGGCCAGGGGCGCCTTGGTGTCCTCCAGCAGCGCCTCCAGGTGGCCCTCCACCAAATGGTCCGCGCGGTAGGGGTCGCCTGGGGTTTAAGGCGGGATGACGGGGTTTGAGTGGCCGATTTGGGGTTTCAGGGGCGATGTTTTAGGGTCGAGGGGGCAAGGATGGGGTTGAGGTGGGGCCAGACATTGAGGGGGTATGACGAGAAGGGGGGTCTGCCATTGGGGGATTGGTGCCATGGAATGGTTGGGAACTCGTGGGTCATCAAAAAGGAGACTGCTTCTGTTTGAGCACCTCTGAGTGATCGCGCCAAGTCAGGGTGATCTCAGATCACCGGGTTCACGCACCCGTCTTGAGGTCTGTGACCATGAAGTCGGTGAAGCGGTCTACGTGGCCGCTGGCCTTCAGGACGATCTCGGGGGTCACAGCAGGGCACTCCACCTGGCAGCGCAGGTAGGAGACCGACCGGAGATCACACAATCGGCATGTGTCCCTCAACGCGGCGAAAGCTGTGCAGCCGCCGCCCGCGACAGATGCATGCCCGCGCGCCTGCTGCCTGTCCAAGGCTGGGACATGCACAGCTCGGTTCGAAAGCGCGCGCTGCTGCGGCTTGGGCATGCGTCCAGCGGCCCCCTTACCCCACACGGCGCCACCCTGTCTGCCGCCCGTGCCCCGCAGTTCAGCCCTTTGGCTGCTCTATTTCCAGTGCGCCGTAAGGCCCCTGTCCCCGCCTCTGCACCTCGAGCATGTTCTCCTCCAGAACAAAGTGCTGGCGCCACGCCTGCGAGAGAGATGAAAGGGGCAGCCGCATGTGCGGCGCAGTGCCATTTGAGCCCCGGCCGATAGCGTGCCATTGCTGCTGCCCGTGCCAGCGCTGGCGCCGCGCAATCCGTGCCACACACACACACACACACACCCACTTGAATATATACATGCACACACACAGATGCACAGAGCGCAGCGCTCGTCAGACACGCACACAATTCGGCAGCGTCCCTCTCTGATACCCCCCCCCCCCGAAAATACTATCCGCCATTCTCCTGCGACACAAGGCGCCACCGCAGCCACGCCCACCTGCGTCAGGTTGTTCTTGATGGCGCAGCCTGGGGGCCCGTAGTCGTAGAAGCCGGCCACGCTGCCATAGATCTTGTATGACGGCACGTAGAACAGGCGCCGCTCCAGCAGGTTGGTCTGGGGGCGGGGTGTGATTGCAGGCAGACGCTGTTTGCGCACCGACAGGGTCGGGCCAGGGGTATCTGCGCAACCGCCCCCATCACCCGGCCCCCATCAGTTGCGGCGCGTCGGCTGCCTTGCGGCTGGCGGACGCAGGAGCGGGTAAGCTGCCCCGCCGCGGCCGTCGTGACGCAAAGAGCCAACCAGCAGCCCTGCGGACTGCCGCAGACGCGATGCAGCTTTGCCTGTCATCTGCCGCGGCACTGCGACGCCCCTGGTCCCAGCACCAAGCCGCTGACGCAGGCCGGGGCGGGGGCACCCACCAGCGCGGCGCGGAAGGCCTCCTTGCTCTGCGAAGACACCTTGCCAGTGGCCTTCTCATACTCCTGCGTGTTTGAGCGCAGCAGCAGCGGCATGCGCGTGCATGTGCTGTTGAGCCCAGTGCACGAGGACGCGGCCTGCATGTAGGCACATTCACGTGCCGTGGAGCCTGCGGCGGAAACGTGCCTGCGGCACCTGCTGCGCCCAGCGCACCTTCTGCTTGCCCTCCAGCTCGACCTTGAGCTCTTGCAGCTTCTGGATCGCCGCCTCCACATCGGCCTGCGATATATAACCAATGTTCGGCGCATTTTCACGGCCTTTCGCTACTCTGGAGCCCGGCGGCCAACCCACGTCGCCAGATCCCCACCTTATCCGCCTTGCCATCCTTGGCCTGTGCCTTCAGAGACCGCACGACATCGCCCTGCTTGGCAGCTGCCTCCTGCAGGTCTGTGATTTCCTGCTCGAGTGTCGCCACCATCCTTGTCGATCTCTCTCTGCACTGCTGCTCTGCTGTTGCGCTGTTCGTGTATGCTTTCCTTTCACCGTCACTATGCTTCACGACACCATATCGGTGCGGCTGTGTGTTCAAAAAGCAGTGCGGCAGTGGTTACCATATCACCCGCCGCACCCAGTGTTCAGGTGTGACGCTGTCGACGTCCGCGCTCGTTTGTGATGGTGCAACCGTAGGGACGACCAGTTGGGATTTCACGCGTGCTTTGTACGTATGGGCTGTCTCACTCAACCTGACGCCTCTCTACGGTATCCAACCTCCAAACCAAGTGCCCAGTCAGGCCACCTTGTGCAAGTTTGATCGTGTGTGCACTGATGTAAGTGCACAATCAAATGGCGCTTTTTGCCGGTGAAGGCTTGTCGTGTGTGCCTTAGTTGTCCTTGTTCTCGTTCTGCTGGATGGTCGCTTTGCGTGTTGGATGGATGCACGAGTTCTGGCTGCACTGTGCACCCTTGCGCCCCCTCTCCCCAGCAGAGGGGTGCAAACTGCACTGTGTGCATATGATCCGACATGGCTCCTGAATGTGGTTGTGATTACAAGCATATATGTGACACTGATAGCACCACTGCTCCTCATGCGGCCTGAGCGATGCAGACCTGACAATTGTCTCAGGCGTTCCAGGTTTGCTTGCCCCGGCCGGGTGAAAGCCTGCATGCGGCAAGTGCCCGATTGATCAGGATGAGGATGACAGCGTCCCGCGATCGGCCGCTTCTCGAGCGATCTGGGCTCATGGGAGTTGATATGAGTTGACCATCAGGTGATTAAGGCGGCCGGCGCACCGTCAACCCCGTGGTTTGCCCCTTGCCATCGTCACAGCGCGAAAAGCATCAGCCACTGACGCCGGCCTCCGGGCATAGGCATCACCACAATCAAGCTTTCATACACCAGTATTTCAACACTTCCATTCCACCTCCCCCCTGTTGGTCAGACCGTCCGTGTGATGACACTGTGTAAGACATCAAATCAGACGTGCGCGAGACCAGTGCCCCTGTGCTGGTCGATTTTGAAGTCAGCAGTAGATGGAAGGAAAGCGCAAGTCTGGTTGCTAGCGCTAAACATACTCTACCGCCCGTGCTTGCACGAAATTTATGCACTGTGACAACTGCCCTTGGGTGCAGCTGGGCACGCACACTCACGCGTGCACACACACACACACACACACACACACACACACACACACACACACACACACACACACACAACTACATAGGCAACAAGCCGAACCACACAGCCACAATCAGTTGTGTTTGGGTACCCCTACGTGCCATTGGCATGCCTGAAAAATTATATGATTTTTGAGATGCACCGCCATTTATCACCAGCAGCGCACCAACCGGACTGACACAATCGGTAAACATAGACTCTGTTTTATGCAAAATTGTAACGCTTACGCAAGCCCACAGCCATTTGCACTGGTGTCGGACCTCGGGTGCGGGGTGTGGTGAGGCGCCAGCAGAGGGAGCGTTATCCAAATAGTCAATGATCTGAACCTGTTCAAGAACGTGAGACCAGTCTGGGGATCGTTGCTGACGCAGTCGCACACGGCCATTGCCATACAAACGCATCCGTTCGCCCCTGCCTCCACGTGCTCACGCCCCCCCCCCCAAACACACACATTTCGGCCTCACCCCCAGGCCCTGCTGGGTTGTGATCACTTGTCAAGGTGAGGTAAGCACGCATAATAACACAGGCAGTCTCTAGATGTTGCCGAGTGTACTTTCCACATAACCCGCCCCACTTTGATGTGGGCTGCGCGGCGGCTTTGGCTGTGCATCCAGCTGCTCAGCTTTGCGATATTTTGCAAGCGCATTGACATGCACAACTCATTGTGTTAGTGGGGCCACACCAGACGTTGATTTTTTCATCTGCCGTGGCAAAATTTTGTGTTCAAAACGCAATCATGTGTGCTGACCCATCCTTTCGTTGCCTGTGCGCACGCCACGCTGACATCAGCAACAGGATCATTGCCGTGTCGATGCACTCAGGTACAGTCTGGGATCACTGGTGGACGTGTCGATTACGCACCACCCTGCGCTGTTATGAATTGTCATCCTCAATTTGGGTGGCCAGTGTTGCCCTGTCTAAATCAGTGCACGACTCAGTGTCAGCACATTGCATTGCAGGCTAGTCCCTGCGCTCGGGGCTGCAAGCGTTGGGGTGACAGGATGTCATCCTTCACCTGTTCACCACCAGTGTTGCGTGCACTCACTGTTATTGGTCCAAGCAGTGATTTATGTGTTGGTGTTAAGGCAATGGCGAGCCGATGCCCAGTTGTTCGTGATTTCCGTCTACCTACGCAGAGGCCTACCTCTGTTGAGACTGGGATGGTGTATGCCTGCAAGCATTTTGAGAGCATTATGTGCATTGCTTGCGCAGGGCACTAGCCATGTGGTGCGACACACGTGCCTTCTGACATATGGCCGCTGGCACCACAGTGCAACCGCCACCAGCCCAGTGCAGCAACTGAAGCTTCTCGGTGTCTACCTCTGCCGCTTTGCAGGCGGCCATGAGCACTGGACAGCGGGCGCTCACAGCAGCGTTTGGGATGTCGTACGCTATCATAACACAGTTTTCTAAACACAAGCCGTTGATCGAGCATTTCTATGATCTCGCGTGGGTGACACCGTGAGGGCCTGACGGCCGAGGCGCGCGGAACCATGAAGATACAAAAACAGAGCAAGGTGGAAGCGGTAAGTATGGGGGGCAGAGGCAAGCAGCAGAAGCGATCTGAGCTTTGCTAACAGAGTATGGCCTTGCTTACGCAGCCGGCGCCGATTGAGGAGATCATAAACAGGGTGCTGAGCGCTCCGGACCTGGCAGCGGGCCTCGCTGGCTTCACATGGAGCTCCGACAAGGTGCGAGGCACACCCTTGGGCGGCAGGATCGCTTTGGGCTCATCAGATAGCCGCATACACAAGCAGAAGATATGTAAAGGCCTCATAGCCAACAGCAGAGATCGCCGGTATGACGCCCGCTCGCTGCTGCCGCCGCTCTTGGCTCCGTGCGAGTCCGCAGCGGGCCGCAGCATACACACTCGATCGCAGGCGGCATGCGGGAGGCAGTCGCTTGCATGTATGCGTATTAGTCAGATTGACCCCTGCAACACAGCCGCGACCGGATCCCAATGGGCTGCCCGGGCCGCACGCGTGGCGCGCGCGCGCCAACCGTGCAGGGCGACCTGCTGCACTGGTGCCGCCTCTTGGACGCCTTCGACGCGTTCCTGGAGCAGCATGCCGCCTGCCGGCCCGACGTGCAGCTGGAAGCAGCGGCGCCGGCGGCGCCGTTCCCGTCGGCGGCGGTGCTGGCGGTGCTCGGCGCCACTGCCACCATCTTTGAAAATTGCAGCAGCAATAAGCAGGTTTACGGCTCGTTCGACGTGAGCGGGGCCAGTTGCAAGATGGGGGTTGGGGACCATGGGACGTGGCAGCGACACCACTTGCTGTTTGAGGTCTGGGCTCTGCAGCCGGTGACGCGCTTCCTGGTGGGCCTTGGTGCTTGCCTTCCCACCTCTTTGGCTGCTCTTGTGCCCATGCACGCTGGCATGTGGCGCCGTTCCCCCTGCCGCGCCCCGCAGCACCTGACGTCGCTGCTGGCGGCGCCGGACCCCGAGGTGGTGGGCGCGGTGCTGGCGACGCTGACAGCGTTCCTCAAGAAGCCCCACCACTCGCTGATGCGGTGGCAGGCGACTGGCCAGCTGACCGCGCAGCTGCTGCAGCTGTGCAGGGGCTGGGGCGGGAAGGAGGAGGTGGGTGGAGGGGTGTGGAGCATTCGCTTTTGGTGGTGGTGGTGGTGGTGGAGGGGGGGCTGCTGCTCATGGCTTATGGCCGCCTAATCAGTCTGCCGTTTTTGTTGGCAGTGGCAGTCGGCCCAAATGCATGCGCAGCACATGTGCAGCTCGGAGCCTTATATGGCGAGCACATCCGGCGGCCTCCCGTACCGTGCCGGCGCGTCCCCTGCGCGTCACTCGTACCGCAGGGCCTAGACCTGGTGACGTGTGTCCAGGATGATGAGGAGCCAGTTCGCAAGGCGCTGGTCAAAGCGACCACCCTCACATACGAGTTCCTGCCGCCGCCCGGCGCGCCGGGGGCGGCCGCGGCTGCGCCCGACGCGGCCGCCGCCGCGGAGACAGAGCCGGCGCCCGGGGCGGTCGCGCCGGCACCGGGTGGCGGGGCGGCTGAGGCGGCGTCTGCAGCGGCAGCGCCGGCGGCTGCGGCTGCCCCGGTGAAGATCTCGCTGCCGTCGCTGCACAAGTACGCGGACGGGGAGGACGAGATTATGCGGCAGCTGATCAGGCACTATAACGTGCCCAAGGAGGCCAGGTTCGACCTGCTCAGCCGCGTCCGCGTGGCGCGCGCGTTCGGCAGCCTGGAGGGGCGGCGGCGGGCGGTGCGGCACCGGCTGCAGGCTCTGTGCCTGCTGCTGCACTCGGCGCCGCAGCAAGGTGCGTGGGGACAGGGGGTTGCGCGGATGCCATCTTGTAACGTTTTATCCAGGAGTCATTTGGTCACAACTGCAGTCGATTTGCTGCGCTGTTGAGCTTGAGATGCGTCTCCCGAGTGCACTGCTGCGCCTCAACACCAGCTTCTGACAGCAAGCACCCCGTTGTGCCCTTACCCCAGCCACCCCCACCCTTTACCTGGTCATCTTCACGCATGCACCGCGTTTGAACCTGACTTCTGACCCCAACCAACCAACCAACCAACCAACCATCCATCCAGGTGACGACCTGGCGACTCTGTTTGTGGCGGACCCTGACCTGATCACGGAGCTCGTGGCCCTCGTGCAGGTGCGCCGCTGGGAAGACACACACGTTGCTACGCCCCGCCCGGGTCGCCCCCAGGGCTCGGTCTCAATTGCGAGGCCCAGCCACTGCAAGGTCTTGCCTGGGCTGCATGGGGTTGGATGTGAGGGGACGGGTGGCCAGGCGGGCGTTGAGGCCGGGTGCCCGGCGCGGCTGACACCACGCGGCGGCGTAGTGGCGAAGGGCAGAGCGCTTTTGCCCAACACGTTAGGGTTGCGAGGGCGCATTCAAACCCTCGCGAACTGCCCGTTATTGATGTGCTTCCTACCGTACTCCTGCCCCTTCTCCCTTCCCTCTTTAGACAACACAACATAGCACAACAGAACACAACACACAACATCACAAAACAGCACACACCACAAAACAACACCACTGAATTTCATCCCTCCCACCGCAGCGCGACGCGGGCGTGCCAGGGGAGCTGCGGGTGCAGGCGCTGCGGACCCTCACGGCGCAGCTCTCAGAGCGCTCGCGCCACGGCCAGGTGCGAGGCAGCCTCGGCCCCCTCGCGCCGCCTGCCCACCCGCGCTGCACGGCCGCCCTTGCAGCCCTTGCTCGCCGGACGGCGCCAGCCAGTGTGTGGGATGTACAAACTGTGTGCGTTGACAACGAAAGTATTTGACACACCTGCACTTAAGGCAGGCCCCCACGGTTGAAACTGCGGTTCCTCCCTGCCAAGACTCCCGACAACACTGCCGGCCCCCCACCCAGGTCATCTCATCCATCGCGGCAGGCGGCTCGTCCGGCCTGCTGTCGGTGCTCCTGCACAAGGCCGTCAGCACAGTGGTGGCGCAGGCCGCGGCGGACGGCCACGAAATGGCCCGCCCAGGCGCCGCCGCCGCTGCGGAGGCGTCCGGCTCCGCGCCCGCCGCCCCGCCGCCGCCGCTGCCGCCCGACCCCGCCGGCCGCGCGCACGCCGCCGCGCTCGCCGACGCGCTGCTGGCGCTGGTGCAGTCCCTCGCGTCGAGCACCGCGGGCTGCACCGCGCTGGCGGACGCGGGGGTCGTGTCCAGCCTGATGCCGCTGCTGCGGGACACGCACCCGGAGCACGTGGGGCTGGTGGTGGCGGCGGTGCGGATCCTGGAGGCGCTGGTGGACTTCAGCCAGTCCGCGCTCACGCTGTTCAGGTGGGGGTCCAGGGTGGAATTGTTCGCACGGTCGGGTGTATCGTTCGTGGGTGCGGCCATGTGTGTGTGCGCATGCACACGTGGAGGTTTGCTTGATTGATTTGTTTTATGCTGGTGGTGGGCGTCTGCTGGAGGTGCTGAGACGGCGCGCATCACCAGGAGGGGCCTCTGGTACTGCCCCGCTCTGCTGGTTCAGCAATTGTCGCTTCAGCTGCCCTTGTGAACTGCGATCGGTTCACACACACACACTTACACACACACACATGCGCGCGTAGGGACCTGGGTGGCCTGTCTGAGCTGATCGCCCGCCTGGGGGTGGAGGTCGGCGTGCAGGCGCCAGAGCCCAGGCCGGAGGGCGCCGAGGGCGGCGGCGGCGGCGACGCGCCCGCTGCCGACGCGAGCATGGAGCCGGCAACGGCGCCGACGGTGCATGCGGCCCCGCCGGAGGCGGGCGCGGCGGCGGCGGCGGGGCCAGATGCGGGCGCTCAGCCGGTGCAGCCGGTGAGCCCGGCCGCCAGGTCCCACACAGGCGCTTCGCTTTGCCGCGCGCGCGTTCAGCAGCCCCGACTTCCCCTCAGCACCCTCGCTCCCGTCCGCTGCGCAGCAACGCCCGCGCCTTCCCTCCTCCCCCTCCCCCTTCCCCGTCCCCCTCCAAACCCGCAGCTTCCGCGCCCGCAGCTGCCCCACGGCCGCCGCGTGCTGCTCAAGTTTCTGCTGCGGGGCGTCGCCCTCTCGTCATATGCCCCCGCCAGCTCAGCGGCCGCGACGCGCCCCGCGGAAGCCGACGCGCGGCTGCTCTACGCATGCCTGTCCGCCATGTATGCGCGCGCGGAGGAGTTTGGCGGCGGCCTGTTTGCGCTCGCGGCGGGCGTGATGACGGACCTCATACACCATGAGCCGCAGAGCTACAGGCAGCTGCAGGAGTCGGGGCTGACGGAGGCGTTCCTGGCGGCAGTCAAGGTGCGGCGGTGGCGCATGATCTGATCTGGGATTATCTGAGGCGATCTGGGACGACCTGAGACAGAATTCGACCTGGTCGGGAGTGCCGTTGTCATAGTGAGGAAGCGGCGGGTTGGTTGGGCGTGCTGAGCTGCCCTGGTGGAAATCCAAATTTCAAACATATTGCGCCGCTGCCGCCCCGCGCAGACCAACCTGCTGCCCAGCGGCGAGGCTGTGTGCGCGGTGCCCAACGCGCTGGTGGCGCTCTGCCTCAACACCTTTGGCCTGCAGCGCGTCAGGGAGACGCAGGTGCGCCGCCCTCACGCGCTCTCTGTAACCCATCGCCCGTCCGTGGGGCGTTGGGGGTGAAACGCGGACGGACGCCTGAGGGTAAACACCTGTCCCCCCCCCCCCACTCCCACCCCTCCCACCCCTCACACCCCGTACCCTATATTGCCCCACTCCCGACCCCCCCAGGTGCTGCAGGTCCTGGTGCCTGTGTTCAGCAGCCGCCGCTACATGCGCGCCGTCGCGGGGGACGCGCCGCGCGTGCTGGGGTCAGGCCTTGAGGAGCTGTTCCGGTGAGGCCCTTGGGGGGGGGGGCAGGGGGGGGTCGAATCGTGAACACCCGGAAGGTCCAAATGCATCGGTGGCCGGCGTGTTGCTTCGGCAGGGCGTCGGGGACGGGTGCTCGTCGGTCTGTGCTCTGTGGTCTGTGATCGTGCCTAGGCGCCAGAAGGGTTGGATGGGCGCGTGTCGGCCGTGGGGTGCTGGGTTGTGGCCAAACGGAGCTGTTTGGTGAGGCCCTTCATGGGGAAGGGGGGAGGTGAACCCTGAAAGCTCCGCAGAACGGCAGGCCTCGTCCTTGCCAAGGGGTGCCGGTCTCCAGCGATTGACTCGGTTTGGCGAGGCGCCGTGGGCGACCTTTTCGGGGCTCGATTTGGGGGGTGGATCAGGGGGCCGGGTTGCTTCGCGCCGTTCCCAGGCGGCAGCACGTGTGCCTGAGAGGGCTCTGGGCGTGGCGTGGAGCATAGGGGGCGATGATGTCGCGCCGCAGCCGGCATGATCCAGCAGCATCACGCGTGCAGGCGCTGGCACGGGCATGCCGTGGGCTTGTCGGGTGAAGTTTGGGTCTCCTTGCACCCGAACGGCCCCACGGCTCGCGAGAACGCGGCGGTCGCCATGCTCCCTGTTGCAAAGGCGCACACCACGCCCCTCCAGCTTCCCCCTCCTTCTCCCGC